AACTTCCGCCGGCGATTGCGGCTGATTCCGGCGGGGTTGGAGGTCGTGCCGCATGTCGTTGAACTCAGCTCGTCGAGATCTTTCTATTGACACCGGTGGTGTCAAAAATGGAGGTCGGAATCTTAACTTGAGTATTTGGCCATTGATGGTTTGTGTGAGAGAAAACGTGAGAGGAGAGAATGAGCGAGAATAAGAGAAAGAAAGTGTAAGAACCCTAAAAATTTCACTATATAAAGTATCTGATTAAGGTAAGATTACGTGCCTGATCTTATCCTCAATTATTTCTTCTAAACAGATTAAATTTATACTGATTAGAGGTAATTAGTTTAGCTCACGTAAGTTAATCTACTACTTACAGTCCAATATTAATTTCTGAATAATTCAATATTGTTTTATATTCTTACTCGCGTAATATTTCAAATTGTTTCAAGTCTTGAAATTAATTTTAGACTGAATAAATTCTAAATTTTAATTTTCTGTATTCTATCCCGAGAATGACGTTTCTGACAGTGTCAACTCCCGAGCTCATATTGTATCCATCTACTATAGGTATTTATCTTGTGACTTTAACCTAACTGTTTGGCAATTAAGGATTTTTTTCTTCTTTTAAAATGTCAGTGCGTTTTTTTTTATATGCCGCTAACATCGTGCTGTGCTTAGAGATTCTTGAAATTAAGATTCTCAAACTATACTTGTACTGAAAATTATTCTGCCTTAAAATACGGCGAGAATTTATCGATCGAATTTACTTGATCGAAACATGAACTTAACATGAAATTTGCTATAGAATTTAGGAATACATATATTAATTCCATAAATCCTCCATTCACAATATAACATAATATTTTCTAAGAAAATCCTCGGCTTAAAAATACATGAATTGTATTATTTAAGGTCTGAAATTTTCTTAGTCATTACAATCATATGGATTCATTCTTAAAACCTTGATTTAGCCGTTGAATCCGAATAGGAGGTTTACTTATAGTATTAAGAAAACTCATGTTGGATAAAATTGTTTTTTCGGTGAATGTGGCTCATCCCTAATAGTGATAGGGAATTGAAAAAATTTTGCTTGTAATGCCTAAGGATGTAGTGATTGTTGACAGGCCAAATGAAGCCCAATCGATGTACGAGAGGCTTCGGTCGCACCCGAACGGTAAAGTGAGCAAGAAAGCAAGGCAATTCATGTTTAGCTTCCAGGTAAGTACTGATGGTATATCATGGCAACTTTAGCATCTCTGTGCATGAAACAACTTTCAAGAGTCAAGACACAGGACTAAGCTGTTTTGTTTGCTCTCAGGACTAAGCTGTTTTTCGAAGGAAAAATTAATAAAATCCTCCCTTTGGTTTTGCTTTGTCTTCTGAAATAATACTTTATTTCCAGAACTAACAAGATATATATCCTGATATTTATAAATTTCATCAAAATAAACTCTAGATAGGTTCATGTTCAGTATTTACAGAAAATACTCAAAATAATAAAAGAAAACAAAGCAGAATAAAATAATAATAACAACAAATAACAACAAAGAAAAGAATAGAAAGTCTCCATTTTTATAAGAAAAATACTCAATCTTTACCTGTCCAGGGTTTATGTGATGCAATATGCAGACTTGGGGAGCACCGTTATTTACAGAACACAGGGTTGTTTTAGAAAAAAAAAAAAAAAAAAAAGGAGAGAGAGCAAAGCAGGGGGAGTTTTAGTAATTGCAAGTACTAGCATGTTCGGATTTCGCATTTCGAAAAATATGAAAATTTCTACTTTTTTTTTTCTTTGAACATATTTACCATCATCAAATCCAGTTTCATCTCTGTTGATAGGAGGCTCATGATATTCTTGCAGGCAATGGAAATGATGAAGGTGACAACAGGCTCAGCTTATTCTTTGAAGAACACTGGCTATCAGAATTACTTTGAAGCATTTGTTGAAAATAAAACTAACTACCCATTAAAAGAGGATGACGATGAAGTTTCACTTAGTCAATCACTGCCATATATATTTCTTCTTGTTTCCCCCATTTTTCTTGTACTACTTTTTGCTGTACAAAAGAGGATATAATTCAAAACATATAAGAATATAGAGTATACAATCATTCAATTACTTCGAAACATTTTTAAATGTGACTACTTTTTTTTGGAACAAATGAAATTGCTAAGCAAGTGGTTATTAAAGAGAAACAGTTTTGTAATGAGGTTTCTGGAAAGATTCCTTGGTTGTTTCGGATGCGTTTTTGTATGGAGTTCCAACACAGCAACAAAGAAAATGACAGGTCAATTATAAGCATCATGCCTCGTCAATTAATTACAAACGGGATTCAGATTTCCAGTTTAATTTTGGTGTTTCAAACGGTGCCTAATCAGCATCATGTCTCGTCATTTAATGAACTCAAATATTAAAACACGTAAAAATCGGTTAAAAAATATTTTAACTATTTCAAATAAAATCTGCATAATTGGATTATTCTCGTGTGTTTGTGGCATTTCATTTATGTTTCATGAGTACTGACATCCTGATTCTGCTAGCTTTGTTTGTTTTCTTCGTTCGTCTTTATTTTTGTTTTTACTTTCTAAAAAACAAAAAAAAAAAAAATATATATATATATATAGGCAAGGTCTCTGGCCTGGTCAGGCACTTAGAAAGTGCCTGACACTTGTATAATTATGTATGAATTGTGTATATTTACAGGTAAGTTGTGTATATTTACATAACACTTGTATAATTATACAATCGTGTATATTTACATATAAATCGTGCATGTTAAGTTATAAGAAACAACAATGTATATTAATCCTCAAAACATGTATTTTTTATAGCAATTAGTGAACACATAACATGAAAATATGTATATTGGCTGATTTGTTATATTTTATGTTAAATATACACGATTTACCTATAAATATACACAATTCATGCACAATTATACAAGTGCCTGGTCAGACACTTTTATTTTTATTTTTTATTTTTTGTGTTTTTGAATCCTGTGGAAATAAGATAACCAACTTCAGTGATAGATTTGGTCAAGAAGTTTCTTAAGGCTGTAGAAATGTTTGTACATCGATTACCTGTGTGCTTGATTTCCTTATTCTTTGATGTTCACTTTGGATTTTCTCCACAATTGAGCACTAAACCACGATTACCTTAATCTTTCACATACCTAGAGAATATTTATGCGACCAAGGGGTTTTTTCACAACACTAGAAGCGGCTCCAAAACTCACCTTAGTGCTACTTGGGGCGAAATACCAAGTTGGGTAATTGTTAGGGACATGACTTGGGCATTTCTTTAGACTGATTGAGCCTTTCAAGCCAACCTTGATATATTATATCCCTACTTAGCCCCGTTGAGCCTATTTTTCCCATTTTCTTTCATCACCCGTGTAGTTAGCTTATCCTTCATCGATATTCTCATCCCAAATAAAACCTGCATAATTGGATTATTCTCGTGATTGTGGCATTTCATTTATGTTTCATGAGTACTGACATCCTGATTCTGCTAGCTTTGTTTGTTTTCTTCGTTCGTCTTTATTTTTGTTTTTACTTTCTAAAAAACAAAAACAAAAAAAAAAAAATATATATATATATAGGCAAGGTCTCTGACCTAGTCAGTTGTATAATTATGTATGAATTGTGTATATTTACAGGTAAGTTGTGTATATTTACATGACACTTGTATAATTATACAATCGTGTATATTTACATGTAAATCGTGTATATTTACATATAAATCGTGCATGTTAAGTTATAAGAAACAACAATGTATATTAATCCTCAAAACATGTATTTTTTATAGCAATTAGTGAACACATAACATGAAAATATGTATATTGGCTGATTTGTTATATTTTATGTTAAATATACACGATTTACCTATAAATATACACAATTCATGCACAATTATACAAGTGCCTGGTCAGACACTTTTATTTTTATTTTTTATTTTTTGTGTTTTTGAATCCTGTGGAAATAAGATAACCAACTTCAGTGATAGATTTGGTCAAGAAGTTTCTTAAGGCTGTAGAAATGTTTGTACATCGATTACCTGTGTGCTTGATTTCCTTATTCTTTGATGTTCACTTTGGATTTTCTCCACAGTTAAGCACTAAACCACGATTACCTTAATCTTTCACATACCTAGAGAATATTTATGCGACCAAGGGGTTTTTTCACAACACTAGAAGCGGTTCCAAAACTCACCTTAGTGCTACTTGAGGCGAAATACCAAGTTGGGTAATTGTTAGGGACATGACTTGGGCATTTCTTTAGACCGATTGAGCCTTTCAAGCCAACCTTGATATATTCTATCCCTACTTAGCCCCGTTGAGCCTATTTTTCCCATTTTCTTTCATCACCCGTGTAGTTAGCTTATCCTTCATCGATATTCTCATCCGACATATTTTTTCGCATCACCTTAGGCATTTCGAGCTTGCACGTGCACATTTTAAGCTTTATCTTGAGATTGGGATTTATGTATTTGGTGGGTGTCATTTGATGGACCATTAGAGCTTCATAACAACTTCTTGTTTTGCCTCTTGATTGTATATATTTATCTGGGTGTAAGATTGACGAAGTGATCGGGTTTGACTTTTGAGCGCGCACACACGAAAGGGGGACCTAAGGTGGATTGATTTGAGTTTGAGTATTGAAATTCTAAGTAACTTTGGTGTTCGATATTTCCATTGAACTTTGATTCTTCTTGACATTTGAGACAAAAAGTTTGGCTATCGCATCGACATATGATTAATTTTTGTTTCTTTCCTCTTGAAGGATTTAGTTTTTTTTTTTTTTCCTTTTATTTTCGTTTTGCTCGAGAACTAGTAAAAATCTAAGTTTAGGGAAATTTGATAGGTCGATTTTATTACTTACTAATCTTGGTTATTTTTGTTGGGTCTTGGTGTTTTAGTGTCCTTTTATTGTGTTTTATCTGGCTTTTGTAGGTTTGAGACAAAATGAATACAAATGCCTTCAAAAGAGTGGAAATGGGAGCCAAATCAAGCCATAAAGCTGCAGCAACGGAATGGAACTCGCGCTGCAGCATAATAAGTAGAAAAGCAGCCCTTGGACGCTGCCGCAGGCGCTTGCGCTGCAGCACCCCCTCAAAAACTGAAGACCCGCTGCAGCGGG